GGCACAAAAGCAAACTTGTACAAAAAAGAAATAAATGACAAAACAAAAATGCAAGTAGACTGTAAAAGAGTAAAACCACGCCAATTTTCTGACTTTTCTCTGGCAGGTTGCTGCGTCATTTTATTCGATTCTCTTTTAGAAAGGNCCCCCCCCCATTTTCGTCAACTCCCTTGCATGGCTTTGGGTCGTGCATCTTTTTCTTTGCATGTACTAATATTGAAAGCTTCCGCTGGGTGATAAATGTCGTGTATGTGCGTCGGTGATAAAGTTCATTTTCAGGTTCTTGCAACATTATTTGCGTACCAACTCTGACTGGCGGTCGTCATGTTTCCTGACGGGTGAGTATCATGATGAGTTCATAGTGTGCATAATTTCTTTCATTATTAACGAAGAGTCTGCCTTTTCTTGTGTGCAGTGGAAAAAGCGATTTTATGGAAGGCACTAATGCATGAGCAGCACTCATTGTTGATATTTCGTTCCGCGTCGATCAATACTGGTTTTACTGTATTGGTTTTGCTTTTTTGCCTAATCCTTACTGCAATTTTGCTTTTTTTAATCAATGGAAAGTCTCAGTTTATGTGTTAGTTTTCTGAAACCCATTTCTCGTCTAACTAAAACAACCAATGCATCTGGTGAAACGCTTTATTAAATCAAAACAAGCAAAGTCATTAATGAATAGGCACAAAAGCAAACTTGTACAAAAAAGAAATAAATGAAAAAACAAAAATGCAAGTAGACTGTAAAAGAGTAAAAGCACGCCAATTTTCTGACTTTTCTCTGGCATGTTGCTGCGTCATTTTATTCGATTCTCTTTTAGAAAGGACATGTTGGCGTCAATTCCTATGCCAGGCAGCGCTCCACCACCTCCACCTTCAAATGAGGCAAACACTGCTTGGGAAAAAGCACAACAAGCTCTCAAGAAGGTATGGGCATAGTATTTTCTCAACGTCGCGGTCTTTCTTTTTTGAGCAAATGTCCCAAGCGATTGAGTGTTATGCTCTGTTGAATTATCTTTTTCCAGATTGGAACACAAACTTCAAAAAGTACCGCTAATGGTCAACCTCCTCCAACTGCTCCTTCCCAATCTCTGAATGCACATGCTTTGATGATGCAATACTACCCGTGGATGGCTCAACAATATGGTATGCAGTATTCTCCAGCTCCAAACTATGCCACGGGGTATCAGCAACAGTCGCAGCAAAACTACACGACATCATCAACGAATAATCATCAATGGAATCAACAACAAACGTGGAACAATCCGAAGCAATGGAACAAACAGCTCCCGCCTCAGCAGCAGAAGCAGCCGCAATCTCATGCTCCGAAAAAGTTTACACCATTCTCCTTAGCCACCCGTCAAGCACCAACAGCACCAAAAACGGTGGCACAAGCGCCGTCCGCTGCAGGTCCACCAGCACCAGGCGGACTCGGTGTGATGCCAGATAATGTTAGGTATGAGTTATATCTTTTTGCATTCATTGAATGTTGGGGTCACATATTTTTCCGAACGGAACTTAACTGCCGTACATTCCGACCTAGGCTTCAGTGTCAGTGATTATAGCTAGTTAACACGTTGTTCACTAATTGAAAAATATTTAATGTAAAGCAGCGAACAGTTTAATAACTAGTTGAGCTTCAATGTTTTGTTTGAAGTGACTACAATCTCCTTGTTATGCTCTGTATCAGCACTAGGACTTGAGGCAAATAGGTGCGGTGGAAAGTAGCGTCTGAGGGATTATCCTATGTTAAACGTTATAATATTCGTTAAGATTCTATAATGTGAAATAGATCAGCAATATTTACAAAATCCGTACACACACATTTCCCTTGTGTTAAGCTTGGCTTTAAACTAAGCTTAACACAAGGGTGTTAAACGTGTTTCGAATTTACTTCAACTTAAATGTTCCGTAAATTCCTTTTGTTTTCAGGCGCTACGTGGAACGAGCGTATCTGGCGGCGCAATGTGCCGAAGACCGTCAAAAGGTGCAGGAGTACTTGGAGAAGCGGCTGCGACCGCTGTTGCAGGCTGGGACAACTCGTGCTATCGACTGGGATCGTGAACCGTTACCGCATGAGCGTGGCTACGAACTTCCAACTACATGGACACCTGTAGCGACGTTACGTGCATCGATGCAGGCGCAGGCTATTAGCGGCCACAAGGCCACAGCGCATCAGTCCAAACGAGAACGAAAGCGAACGGCATCGCCGGACGCCAGTGCAGACTCAAAACGTGATCGGCGTAGCAGTAGCAGTTCAAGTGATGTGGAGGTTATCAAAGTCAAGGTGTCGGCGCCGTAGTTTTCTACTGGGTTGTAAAAAAGCGAAGTGTTCAAGTAATTTAGGCGAAATCAGCGCAATTACAGATGACTGTGCACTTTCTAAGAGCTAAATTGATTTTCATTTCGGCTATTATTTGTCTTTTTCCTTTGAAACGAAAGATTGTTCCAAACTTGCATAGGCGGTTGAGATTATTCACATTTGCGAGGTTTATTTCAGTCAATTGTTTCGAAGAAGAAGACTCAGAAGGAACGTAAACGTGAAGGAAATTCCGCTAAAAAGGAAAAGCGAAAACTACAGAATGCTGAAAAACAGAAGAAGGAAGCTACTCGCTGGCACGTTGAGGAGGTATTGATATAATTCTAACTCTTGCCCAATTTTTTTTTCTCACCGAGTCTCATCTTAGAAGCTTTTGCGAAATGCTTGGTACTCTCCGTTAAAATTGATCTTTTCCTATTAGACTGTTTTGGCGTGGTTTACTCACGTCGTTTTCTCACTGTTCAAGTTTGTTACATTTGTGAAAGGCGCATATAAAGAGCGTCTGCCTTTAGAAATTTGAATTGGAACGTAACACATCAAACGAAGGGGAAAGCCGCTCGAAATCCCTCAAGAACATCAGAAGCTGAAAGCATTTTTACTATTTATCTTGAATGGTTCGACCCGTGAGATGTGCATCATAGCAGTATGTTTGTAAAATTTAGGATTCGAGTAGGATCGAAGAGAGAGCAAAAAGATTCGCAAATGATGCTCGCAGTGCGGCTGTTTCTGCGATGGCAGCAGCTCGTCCAGTTCGAATGAAGCTTGTTAAGGGCACTTGCCAGAATATAGAGAAGAGCTTTTTCAGACTTACAGCGGTTAGTTCCATTCTTTCTCTGGAACTTATTCCATTTGCATTAGGGGGACGGTACGAACGTGCGTCCGAGGGTGCGCGCGGCGAATTGCGCGGCAAAGTTCGTGACGATTTGTACGACTGCCGAGCCAATTTTCGGGGCACAAACTCGAAGTAGTGTAGTTTAGTAGGGTCGGATGATCCTCCTAATCCGCTCTATTTGAAATTNGCGCATCCTCGGACGCACGTTCGTACACATACCCTTTGCATTAAGAAGGAACAACGGTTCGAGGAAAAAGGGTTGTTTTTGCATCAGTAGTTTCCAGGCGCCTGATCCCAGTCAGGTTCGACCGCCGGAGATTCTTGAGAAGTCGCTAGATAATGTCAAGGAGAAATATCGAGCTAAAGCTCCCTATCGCTACTTGTCGGATCAACTTCGATCAATCAGGTGACTTTGTCATTTGGTTCGAGGGATATTTTGGCCTTCCATTTTGCTTCCTGTTAGCTGCTTCTCTAGTACATGCAGGGGATTGGTGGGAGTATGGGGTTCTGTGCAATGGAAAGGCCGAATTGGAATTGGAATGTTGTATTCTTAACAATTTTCGGTATCTGATGGGCGCTTCAATTTCAGGCAAGATCTTACTGTGCAGCGAGTTAGGAACAATTTCACGGTCCAGGTTTATGAAATCAATGCACGAATCGCTCTTGAGAATAAGGATCGAGAAGAATTCAATAAAGTTGGTTTGAATCTGGTTGATTGTCTACTTCTTGCCTTTCAACTTCGATTATATGTGTTTCTCAGTGTCAAAGTCAACTGAAGCTGCTGTACAACGAAATACCGGGCTGCTCAAATGAAGCGGAGTTCATAGCGTACCGCCTTCTCTACTACATTGCAATGAATAACTCTCTTGACGTCTCATCGCTTCTAAAAGGTACTCGATTCTTNCTCTCACTGATGATGAGCTCTATTGCCTAGTGATTGAGAGGTTTTCGATGATTTGGTTGTGTTAGGTTTTTGAGAATATTGAACGGATTTCGGGGCTCGTGCGAGTACGACGGATATATAAATTTCTTCTGTACTTACAGGTTTGACAGACTCATTACGAGCCGATGAATGCGTTATGTTTGCGATGCGAGTTCGTCGCGCTGTATCGCTTGGAAATTATCCAACCCTATTTAGATTATTTAATGTGAGTCGTGTTAAGTTACTTGACGTTTTCTTGTGTCACAGAGGAGCGCACGTTTATGGACTCCGGCCTTTTTCATACCGTTAACAGTTGCAGCTTTAAATTGAAAATTTTCCAACTGTTTGGCCTGAGCTACATCTCTAAATTGTATCTATCCTTTTAGATGTCGAGTTTTCGCTTTCGACAAAATTAGTCCTTACTTTTTTACCAAAATCGAGGCAAATCGAGTTTTAGCTCATGGCTTTTCTTAGTTTCGAGTTGCTTAGAGACCACTCATGAAACTGCTCATGATCTTCTTAGTTTCGGGCTGGTGTAAGAATAACCCACCACGCGTCAAATTGGTGAAAATTTTTCATGGAAAGGAACAAGATCAGGTTGATTGGCTTGTTAAGAACCTTGTTTCGAATACAGTCGTTTGACTATATCTTAGTTTAGCCAAAGGTTCTTTAAAACTAAATTTTGGTGTACTGCCACATCCAAGCGACCATGATGCTCAGAGACGCACTCAAACTAAGGGGGACTAAGGGTCGAGGTGGCGCAGTGGATTTGAAAATTTTCGTCGTTTACGATCGTGAAGGATGGGCTGAATGGTGTTATTGTTGTACCTGAGAAGATGTTGCATCGGGCATTGGTTCAAGACGAGTTTCTTCTATTGGTTTAGTACTGCGGATTATTTCTGATTCTATACAATTTTTGGGCAGCACAACTTTGGAAATCACCGTCATTGTAATGACCTTCCATTTCAGTCCGCTCCAAAGATGTGCCCATACCTGATGGATTTGTTCGTGGAACGTGAGCGGAAAGCGGCACTCATGCAAATATTCAAAGCGTAAGTTGTGTTAAGTCACAATAATGAACTTGTCTGTTTTGAAATCACAGTTTTGATTGTCATTCAAAAAGGCGACAGGGCGTTGCATCTATTCATGCTGTCTTCACGAAGCTTGCCAAACTAAGCAATCTTTCTAGTATGAGCGGAAAATAAAGGCTCATTGGGTTTTTTCTACTAGTCTCTGAGACGAACACTATTATTGGGCTGTCTGCTTCTGCACGCTCATTCATTTGGTTTTCTTCTAGTCTTTTTTTCGGTATTTTTTGAGTATTCGTTGGTTTCAGGTTCCGGCCTTCGATTCCCGTTAGCAAGGTGAGTGAGTGGTTGGGCATGTCTGAGTCATCCTTGGTAGAATGGCTAAACCTTTTGGAAATTGAATGTCAAGTGGGCGGTGCGATTGACTGTCGCGCGTACGCGACGAAGACGTTTTAGGCCTCTGCATATCATTGTACTTTCTCTGTCATTTAGATTGCTACAGGAAATCAGGTATATTGAATAGCCTCTTAGGCCTGTGTGCATTGCAGTTTGGATCTCTTTAAGTGTCGTTTTATACTGATACAAGGTCATTTGTGATACCTGCGGGTAATCAGAAATGGAAACAACTAAAATACTTTTGGCCATATTTGTGATACCATCCGAGACACCTCCAGCATACGGTATGTATTTTTGTGTGATAGTGTACATAGCATATTTCGTTGTTTACTTATGTTGAATGTTTTCACAAATGATTAAAATGTTATTTTCTTCAGTGTTGTTGTTTTTGTTTGTGCCATCGTTTGTATGGCTGCTTTCCCTATCGAGCATCCACTGTTGTGACAACAACATGTGCAACACAAGCGCTAGACGAGCTGTGCGGTGGTGGTAGAAAGGAAAGCCATTC